GTACTGGGTTATTGTGGGCTTTGTTAAAAACCACTCAGGAACAAAATGGTAACATTTCCTTAGAGGGCTTTATTTTTCTATTTTATATAGACCACTTATTAAATTAGAAGGCTGAAAAGTAAAAATATATCATATAATCAAAGAAAAATTTGGACATGGACCCCATCCCCAAGATACATCCCACAGACACAGAGTTCTGAGAACCATTCCCATCAACCTCCAGACAGTGTATCAGATGACACCAGTATCTGTAAAGAGGGACTGGGAGGGAGAGGGCAGAACCCAGTTGCACAACACTTCTCTCAATTGGATAGGTGTCATTCGCATGGCGAGATGAAAGCCAGTGGCCACATCAGACCACAGATGTGCAGCAGTTACAACTTCAGCCAACCAGTATGTCCAGAGAAGAAAATAGCCTGGGCCATACCCAGACCCATACCCACCCTAGAGCTGGCTTGAGATCAGGGGCTCCAGTGATCATCTTGTGAAACTCTGCTACCACTTTGAATCTTCAAAGATTCTTGGCCAGAGCAGCAATAACACCCAGTGAGAGCCTGGCTCCCACCCAGAAGCCTATCTACATCTGCTATGGCTTTGCCTTTGAGCTTCTCCTTCCAGGTCTAACAACTTTTCTTTCAAGAAGACCCAGGATGGGATGGAAGGCCAGGTAAGCCATGTCCTAATGCCTAGGCTCCTAGACAGGCACTGACAAGCAAATTCCAAGACAAGACAGCACAAAACCTAGGAGAGTGGGGTCTCACTCAGACCTTATAAAATGTGATCTTTCTTCAATCTATTAAAAAAATAAAATGTTCATGACAAAGGGAAGAGTCTGTGTTCAGCTCAAGTCTTAAAACTGTCTTAAAACCATCACTCTTCCCCATTTGAGCAAGCACAAGTTAGTGAATGCTGCCTCTGAGTGCCATGGGGGCTGCTCAGGGGTTGACAGCAAATGTTGATGCTCCCTCCAGAACCTCACAGGAACGAAGTGGCCCTTGCTCAGCCCATACCTCCTTAAAGCAGTAGCTGATGCACACAGCCACACCTGAGACCTGGAGACAGGTGCTGAGGTTTCTGTTCTGCAGTGTCTCAAGTCTGCTGGTAACACTAAGTGGACCACTTAAGGAGGTCCTGTCCTGCTTGACTCATCCACCCTGCAAGAGGGCATCTGCTTACCAAGCACAAGGCCACACAACAGTCTAGAATGGAGACTTCCAGTGCCTGGCTGGGTTAAAGTGAGTGGTTGAATCTATTTAACAAACATTGGTCTTTCTTCTCCATTTTGCAGTTAAAAGGTTTAAAGTCCTACAGCTAAAGAAAAGTGCTTGTTACCACCATCCCATGCTCACCATCACCACATACTGCTTTCAGGCTTACAAAAATAAATACTTATGAACAATACATTTGACAAAATGCACCCCCATGGATGACAGAAAGTAGTATATTTTAGCTGACATTAAAACTTAATCTGTGTTTTTAGAGGGGGGAAGATCAAAACTGAAGCACTAACTTTCTTATTTTAAGTCTTTCACAAATAGTTCCAATTTCTAGAAGTTACCTCATGCCCATATTGGTGGATCACATAACTGAAGGTTGGGTGCAAATTCTTGGAAAAACAAGAAGCAACTGCAGCGTACGGCAAAACTGTAACACCACAAACATGTGACAATGCTCCCTAGCTTCTTAATGGTGCCTGTACAGTGTACCAATTCTGAGAAAGCTTTCAAGGTTCTGATTCTTAGGACCAGGTGTCACCCATTCTGTCCCTGAACAGATCTATAGCCAGGTCATGGGCCCAAAGGTTTGCAACCCAAAATACAATACACAATACCCACTAGACAGGGACAGGCACCTCTGCCTCCATGAAGGTTTAATTTACGCGTGAGATTTTTATCACTCAGGCCGAGCGACAGTAGGGGTTGAGAGAGTCTGCTGCAGGTCAGTAGTGTCATGATGCCTGAATGCCTTTTAGTAGTAAACACATAGTGCCACATCTGCCCATCTCTCTCCTTCACTTGACTCTGGGCTGTGTGATGAAGGCCTATCAACAAAAACAGCCCCCAGAGTAACAACCACAGTGCTGGTACTAAACAGAAGGAGGTGGAAAAAAGCCTCTATCAGTGAGGGCCAAGATGGGGCCTGTCCAGCCAAGCACCAGGTCTGGATACCTTCTGCATTCAAGTTGGATTTCTGTGGCTGAAGCCTAGCCAGACAGTGACAGGTGAGCTAGACAAGAGGTCAGACCTGCTGGATATGACTGAGAAGCATATCTCACTGGCCCAGGACTAGGTGAGGGCCCAGGTTCACATACGACATCAGAGGAAAGAAGGAGCTTTCAGCTTGAAGTTCTAAAAATAACCTGCAAGTAAGTACACATGAACTCAGTGCACCTTCAACAACCACCCCAGTTAGGCTGAGTAACTTCATGACATCCATCGACTCGGAAGGATGCTGTACAAACTCTAATGTCTTGGCAGGGGCAGCTGCTTTCTGTAAGAATGCTTTCCAGAACAGGGTGAGGAAGGGAGATGCAGGACCACTGGTCTGTGCAGTAACAGGGCCATGCCACCATCACCCAACTAGAGACAAGGAGGAAGCTGTCCCCCACCAACAATGAAGAGGACTGCCTGCCTAGAACCAAAAATCCACATGCATCCCCAAAATAGGTGGGAAGGGGCGGCACAGATGTCCAAGGAAGGGGTACGTGGATGGTCTTTCATTGGAATCTTTTGGGGATGGTGACCCTGGGGAGCCTTGGGTGGGCAAGTCCAAGGGTCAGTGGTGTGAAGCCAAGGGCCACAGGTGGGTCTAGGACTCTTCACCCATTTGCAGCAAGGAATTGATGGCAGCATCCTTGTTCCCTCTCTGGGCTTCAAGCACGGAGCGGATTACTTCTCTGTCCATGTTGGGAAACATGTCCTGGATAGCCTTGAGATCCTCCTCATTACAGCGGGGCTGAGGAGCCACAGCTGGTGGAGGCATGGCCACAGGCATCATGCCAGGGCTGCAGACGGCAGGCATCCCTGAAAACAAAAGATGAAGTTTGGTTAAAAAGAGTGGGGTCAATCAGGCATGGTTGTGCATGTCTGTAATTCCAGCACTTGGGAAATAGCAGGTGAATCTCTAAGATCAAGGCCAGCCTGGTTTACAGAGTGAGTTCCAGGACAGCTAGACAGAGAAACCCTGTTCCCAAAAAAACAAAAACAGTGGTGTCACAAAGCTGCAATGCCAAAGGAAGAAATAATGCATTTGATTTACCTCAAGGGGAAAGGCTACCTTGAGTCTGACTTGAAAACAGACCCAATAAGTACGCCCATGGCAGATGGGCTGGGATATCCTCCTCACCACTGATGTCTCCTCTTCTGATATATTTCCTTTCTGAACAAAAATCCAAGTTGGATCTTTCCAATCAAAAATTACAGGGAGCAAGATGAAAATTTGGTAACTATATGTACTACTTCAAGAACTTAGGAGACTTGACACAGATGTGAGTCTTTACTGAGAATGGGGACAGCAAAGTATTATGCTTGTTACACCCCACACTCCAAAGTCTGCTTGTCAACATTCTAGAATTTACTTTCACAGCCTAGCTAAGACATTACAGTAACCATGCATGCATTGTAAGGTAAAGCTACATATAGCAGGCCCTAAACATTAACATTTCAGAAAGGCTACTAGCCTTTCACCATGAAGACAATACACACATCAGAAAGTGCATTGGTCTTCAGCAGCCTAAAGCACCAGGGGAGTCAATCCTTTAGCCATGTGAGCAACGAAAGACTGCTGCCAGAGGGCTCAGCACTGATGCTACATGGCTCCCTGCACTCTGTGCTAGATGAAGGGGCACAAACTGAGAAACAAAAGGTTTCCTGAGTCCCTCTGGGGCAGGTCTTTACCTTTGTGCTTTTGTCCTGACTGACCTGCACAGGTTGCAACCACACAGCCTCACAAGTTAGCATAATGTCATGCTGCTCAGCCTTTCAGTGATAAACAAAAAAGGGGACGGAATGCCACCTTCACTGAGGATAGTGGACTGTTGCCTAGCTCAGGTCCGAGACAGCAGCCTTTCCTAAAAGGACTCAAACAACCTCAGGTGTATGGATAAAGTGCCTGTGCGCACACACAGTCACTGCAGCAACACGAGGAAAGTTGTATGACTATAAACAGCCCAGGCAGCTCCCTTTGGGTTCTGCTCAGATTGTTCCAACGTTTTTCAGCCTAGCTGGGCACAGGGAAGAGAGGACTGGGAACTTCCGTAAAACCTATAGACTAACTGCATAGGGTCAGCACAGGAGAGCCGTCTACAGTCATCTGCTCTCGTAAATCAGCTCCCTGGGGAGCAGGCCAATGCATACTTCTGGTGCTGGTGTCTTCCATCTTCCAGAGTGGATACCATAGGCCCAATCCAAGTTTGACCTGTCATCATGACTGAGTGTGGACTATTTATCAAAACTTCCTTAAAGTTGTGAGAGTAGATTTGGGGTAACCAGCCAACTTTGTGGGTAAAAGATGGACAGGAACCCTGCAGCACTGGGCCCCAAACAAGGTCCTCTCAGGTTCAAGTGGGTACAGGGAGGAGCCATACAGATGGAAATGAACCCATAGCCCATTCTAAAGCACCATGTTCAATAAGGGAAACTCAGTGACACCATCTTGTGATGTGACGAGATTCTTCCTCTTCATAAACAGACACAAACTGATGGTGTAGGACCAATTCATTTCCAACAGCAGGATACTTAGCTACAAAGCACACGCTATGTAGCCAGTGGGAAGGCACAATTCAGTGAAACAAGAGCCTCTTCACCAATAGAATGCCACTCAGAAAACAAAAGCAAGGGAGCTTTCCATTCAAAAAGAACTGGTGCTATAGCATGGCAGCATAGACAGTCTGGGCCCACAATGGCCTCACAGCAATAGCCCAGAACTGACACCAACAGCCAAAGGCCCTTGAAGCTTCCCTTGCTGACTACATGGACTCAGGAGCAGGCTGCAGATCATGGGACTTTTCTAAGCTCTCAAACTAGTGGATCCACAAGCACACAGATAACTCTTGATCCTTAACCTTCAGCTTCAGCTCTGCAAAGAAGCAGCTGTGATTTTTGAATCCAGAACCTTAGACAGAGAACAGGGTCTATGTTTCCTGATATGCAGAGGCAGCTAGCACCTACTGGCTATGCACTGCCCCCTGGGCATATGGCAGGGGTGGACCAATGGACAATGAGAACAGGCTAACTTGTGAGTCTCCTCATTCCTGTTCTATTGCTCACAGACTTACTTCACCCCATTGTCAGGTGCTTGAGTGCAGTCCTTTTTCATGCATGGTCTGTGTATGTGTGTACCTAGCACCCTAAATAGTCAAGGGTGTGAGTCTTTCCCAAGAGAGCAAACTCTGTAGGACAGCTATGGAGCTAATATGAAGCAAGAAGCATCATGTGACTTGACCTCACTTTTGAGAAGTCAGAGAACAATAGGAATAAAAATGAACCGCTGCTCCTGCTTCTGTGGCCATAAGAGAGCCTGAAAGCAGCCACACAGACCACATGGCGGCCCCTGTCAGTCCATACACAGGACACTCCAAGTAATCTTATAGGATGGCTCTGTCATCACAAACATATAGGAATTATAAGAACCAAGCTGGGCATCAAGTTTTAATGAAGCAGTATGCTTAGTAACCCTCCCAATGATTAAGATAAATAAAAAACAATTCAAGAACTTTTCTAGAACTGATTCTCTATTAGTGGACGCCAGGGTTCAGGGAGAAGTGGCTAATTCCAGGGTGGAGGAAGGAAATGTACAAGATAGCCAGAGGTTTCCTGTGTCAAAGTCAGGAAGTTCACACAGCATGTGAGACATCAAAAAGCACACAATTCAGACTGAAGGGCTGGCCAATCCGGGGTCACTAAGTGACAAACAATATAGGAACAAATTATAGCTCAGAAAATGAAACAAAGCTCAAGCCCAAACTGCTACAGCTATCAGTGGACAGCTCAGTCTGACAAAAACACAGGCAGCAACTGTGACCTTGAATATAAGCCTTGAGCAGATACCAAGATGTTCTCAAGAAACTGAAAAGGCACACTGTCACTTCACCAAACACTAGGGCGTGAGCAGCAGTAATGAAAGAGAGCAGTCTTCTAAGCAGTATCTGGGTACACCTGGCCAGACAGTGGACAGGGCAGCACAAAAAACTGCAGGGCCCGTCACAGGTTCTCGGAAGACCTAGCTCCACCAGCCCCATGGCCTGAGCTCCTTCACAGAACAAGTGGGGATGAACTTGGCTGCAGTCCTGCAGCAGGTTCCCCTTGGGAAGTGTCCTCACTTCCAGAAAGCATGCTTACATGGGGACAGAGCAGACTTCAGAGGCTGGTCTTCAAAGGAAAATATCCTTTTATTTCTGTGGTAGCTTTTCTGTCAGTAGGAGACTGTTTTTAACTTTCAAAATGTACATCAAAAGCAAGGATTAAAGTCTATTTATAGAGGAACCTTCCCTAACATACACATTCTAGAGCAGTCTAGAGGCATTACAGAGAATGAAGAACAGGGGCCAAGAAAGAGTAAGCTGGTTAACAACTTTTAATCTATTGTTTAGAAGTAGTTCTGGTGTCAGCAACTGGATAGAAGTTTGTCTCTGTTGCCTCCCTACCCATCTGCCACCATCCAAAGATATGCTCAAGTCCAACCCTAGTACCTGCAGATGGGCCTTACTTGGAAAGAAGGTACCCTTGTTAGGATGAAACCATGAAGGAGCAGTAGAGCCCTTGTTCAGTGATCATATAGGACAGAAACACACAAAGAGGGTGGTAACCACGGGAGTATGAAAACAGACTGGGGAGATGTAGCCAGAAACCAAGTAACGTCAAGAGTTGGAAAAGTAGAAAGGGCCCTCTCTGGAGCTTCAGAAGAAATTGCGGCCCTTGTTTTGGACTTCTGGCCTCAGAAACTGGGGGAAGAGATTTCTGCTGCATGGTCCCACCTGTGACCCTTCGCCTCTACTACAATGGGGTACCCTTTGTGCTCACTACATTCCACTTGTTTCTCCCTCCTCAGACCTCCAACTCAGGACAGTTCAATGGCAAATTTTGTACATTCCAGTGATGCACTGGACAGAGCACTGATGGTACTGCAGTTCAAAAAGAAACCCAGGAGCCGCTTTGGGAACCCAACTCTCAGACCTCAGGATCTAGTTCCTGAACAGGACAGGTCAGGACTCCAGAGGGTACACATTGTGAGACCCCACTCTCAGATTTCTAAGGCTCTCTCCTTGAAGAACCAACTGTTTTAAGGTCCTGGGTCATGTCCCATTGAACTGGCTTGCTCTCTACTGCAGGCTGTATATTCTGGTCTCTGCTGGACTGGTGACAACCTACTCCACTCCAAATACTGCAGAGGCCCAGAAGCACTCCTTTGCAGAGTGCTGCCCTTAGTTCCTGCAGGCAGATTTGTCCCAGGCAGAAGGCCCAAGCTCTGTCAGGTTTGTTTTCGGGCTATGTGTGGGTGATCTCATTCCCCAGTCCTTCACTGTCTCCCCTAGCTCAGCTCAGGTTAATGAGTCACTCCATTCTGGCTGTGTGGGACCCTTAGACCCCACACTGATAAGCCACAGTACCTCTGTGCTGTTCCAGCTCTGAGACAACATCCACCCTGAACACTAGCAACCAGGGACCACGTGGACTAGATCCTACCCAGGACCTCATATTCCCTCCTGCCCTGGCTATCCCCACTGCCTTGGCCTTTGATCTCCTAGTGGTAGCAGGACCACCACTGTCTGCTTGGACTCCAGTCCCTTGGACCCTGACAGAGAATGTGGGGCGAGGGAGGGTGGGACTGTAGTACTTCCCTGGTGCCTACTCTCAGAGCCACAGTCCTCCTGCTGGCTCAAGCCAGTCTCATCTGGTTTGCCCTGTTCTTGTGGGAGGGCCAGTTGGGCACCAGGCACTGTGAAAGCCACAGAAAGACTGGAAAATTTTTAAAAATACATAAAAGCCACATCTTGACTTTATGACCCAAGCAGATGTTAATTTACATAAGTAAATACTTTTAATGGAAGCCATGTTTTTTTAAGATGCAGTATGCCTTGCTTAACCGGAACCAGGTTTTCTCATTCCAGTGACTCATGTGTGAAAATGTACATAGACCACATTTCTACACCTCCAAAAACTGCTGGCAACTAGGAAAAATATTAATTATCCATAAATCATTCAAGTATGACACTATGAGTCAGTTTTAAAAGGATCTTCATTTGAAGTAGCCATCTTTACACAATTCTACACTATACAAACTTCATAGGGATGGATGCTGGGCCCCCCTCCCTGCTCCAGTCCTACTCTGTCTCAGAATTGCCTACTGAAGAAGCAGCACACACCTGCAATGGGCACATAGCCAACACCCTGCTGGTACACGGTTGGCATCAGGACCACAGGCTGAGGTGGCATCATCATGGCAGCTGGGAGAGACTGAAACACAAACAAAGAAAAATATGGGGGTCAAGGAGGACCATATCATATGTAAATCTTGTTACTTCCAGTCTCACAATAATAGTCCTAGCCACAGCCCAGCCATGAACACCCAAGAACATGCAGTCCTCAGGAAGAATGGAGTGGCCCTGGCCGCTGGTTCCATCTGCACCAACACTCCAGCACACCACTTCCCCTTGGCTGGAAGACTTGGGCTAAGACAAGAACTACAGCTACTGAAACGTGAACGAGGACAGGACGGGCCACCAATCTAGTGGAATAAATGAGCTCCAGTTTCAGTGAGAACAAAAGTCAGGGTGTCAACCGCTGGCTTCACATGAGCTGCCACCACCACCACTTTCCAGACAAAGCTCACTTCAGGGTCTGTTTTGGAGACTGCATCGGTATCAGTAGCTTCTCACAGAAGTACTCAACTGTTTTGTTTAGATTTATTTATTTAATGTGTCTTAGTGTTTTGCCTGCATGTATGTGCATCACATGTATGCCTGGTTCCAGTGAAGGTTAGATGAAGGCATGGGATTCCCTGGAACTGGAGTTACAGTTGGTTGTGAGCCACCATATGGGTACTGGGAATCAAACCTGGGACTTTCCACAAGAGCAGCCAAAGCTCTTTCCCACTGAGCCACCTCTCTAGCCCCAGCTAATCTTGAACTGTAGGTGAGCTAGTACCAAATGGACCTGTGCTACATAAAGTGCATGTTAAAGATAGGTAACACTAAACACCAGAAGGAGAGACATGCAGCTGATGAGGCCTGCACACAGGGAGCTTTATACTCTCATGTTCTCACAGGCTTGGTAGCAACTAAAAAGAAAAGGCCTAGATGATACCAAGGAGACAATGGAAGCCCAGACCCCCAACCCTGCCTCCCATGACTTCCCAAGGTTCTGGACGCCATAGCTCTCTCAGGGAGGTTCCACAAACTCTTCTGAGTGTGGTCTCTCCCGACAGTGGACTCACCGTGTAGGACATGACCAGGTTGATCATGCCCTCCTTGTCATCGCCCTGCCTCCCACTCAGGCTATACCACTCGTCCTCCACTTGGCCTTGCTTCAGGGACTCAGGGATGGTGATATGGGTCCACGCTATGCGGTCGTCCATGGAGAAGGCTCTCTGAGGAGGGCAAGAGTGAAGTGACTTTGTCATGGCCCACAATGACCCATGTTCTAGAGACCAGCTTTCCCTCTGCTGTAACTCCAACTGGACTCTTCCACCCTCCCCACTGCTCCAGCTTCCTTCAAGGAGCTTCCCATCACACCACAATCCCAGACCTCCATGGATCATCTGTAACCTGACCACCACTTCTGCACTTTCTGAGTAACCATATAAGGCCAGGCCAAAGGACAGGAAAGGACTCTGGGCTGTCATCCTGGCTCAGGGATGGGCATTGTTCTCCCCAGTCCTTGTGGCCCTACTCCTAATCCACCAGATATGAACGGCAAGTCTCAAGCCAAAAACGTACAGAAGAGGTAAGAGCTCCAACCCACCATCCACATCCCTAAACCTCCTTTTCACATGGTCCTACTATTCTGAGGGCACAGAAGGAGAAAGGAACCAAAACAAAAACCAAAACCAACACACAAACAAAACACAAAAAACAGAGGAAGAGGCACAGGGACAATACAAGGGGGAGGCTGCATCCTCCTGGGTGGGCTGCCCACGCCCAGCTCCTCTCTGGCCTACACTGTTCTCATTCTCTTCCACTTCCCTATGCTCTCATTTAAGGAGGCAGGTACATGGTCTTTAGAACTAAGCTACCAGGAGATAACTTCAGCCACCTGCCCTGACTGCCCTCAAAAAGCTGCATGCCTAACTGCTGGTATGGCCATGGGACATTGCTGGCAGAGCCTGTGACTCATGCCTGCAAGAACAGTGCTCCCACCACTAGTGGAGCCTGATTTGCTTGAAATTTGACCTACCCATGAACAGCTATTTTCACACTCTGCCCACACTTGTTATCACTGGTGATGGTTCCCAATGGACACTGTCAAAGGAGCTGAGAGAGAAAAAAGCTGTACCTTGTCATTCAGCCACTAAATGCCAGGTGTCCAGGCAGGTCACACCCTGTTACCCTGCCACTAAATGCTAGGTACACAGGCTTGAGCACCAGTAGAGCAATCTCATGACTGCTAGGCACACTGCAGCACATCTAAATCTATCGGATCCCAAACTTGGCAGATCTGTGACACTGGGGCATCCCTCACCTCATCGAAGATCTCAAGGTAGAACGAGTCCACACCTGGGGGCACCGTGCACTGGATGACCTTGTTCCAGCGAGGGTTCTTGGCACCATTGTGTGCTGTGGGAGTTTCATAAACAGCATAGCCCAGACGAAGGCGGCAGTATGGGTCCATGCGAGTCATGCCGTAATTCTTTGCCAATTTTGCCTGAAATAACACCAAGTTTAGAAAAATGAGGTATCCATCAGCAGAGAAGAAGGGATATGCTTACCTAAACTGCTTACCTCACAGGTATTTCCCAGTGTAAGAAAAAAATAGCCTTCAAGTTCACCTAACCACATCAGTAACTGGCTCCTGGACATGGTGCCAGTCACTGCTGGACTCACACAACTCTGGGAACCTGGCCACACCTGGCAGGGAGCAACTTAGATAAAGTCTCTAATCTAACTGTGCACTGACTGTGTACATCCTAGACCTTAGAACCATGGTCTGCAGGGCAGTTGTACACCCCAGCTGCTATAAGGGGATTAGGGAAACCATGCTCATGGAGGACAGTACCCAGCATGGACCAATAGTGATTGTAAGTATCTTAGGCAGATCTCTGGGAAATCAACAAGTATCATCAGATATTTTCAGGAGTAACTAGAATCAAAAAAGTTCTATTTGTTCACATGGGAAATGAGTTGCAAAGGCTGAAATTCTCATTTTCATGCCTAAGCACAGCCTACTACCTCTTGTCCTCAGCCCCACCAATCTTCAAAAAGAAACAGACCCACCTGTACTACAGTAATGCTGAGGCGGCCCACAGTGCCAACTGCTCCTCCATACTGCAGCTGTTGGGCTGCCTGGGCATCCAGCTGGATCTGCTGCTGCTGCTGTGTGGGTGTTATACGGAGGAAGTCTTGGGGGAGTTCACCAATGTACACCTTCCAGTGAGGATGCAAAAGAGTAGAGTCAAAGCATGTAGCCGAGCAATCTCACAGTACTATCCTACTTGCCTTGGACCAGTATTCACTCAAGCCCAGTCCAGCTCACCCTCACCTCACCAAGGCCTGGAGAGTGCTTGGCCTGTTTTTTCACCCACAAGAGTTTCCAGCCAGCCCTCATCTGAACTTGTTTCCCCTAAAGATGCACATCTTCTTATTCAGGGGGTGCTCAAGGCAAAGCCCTTGGAAGGTTTAGAACATGTCTCAGTCACTGAAAAGGCTGGCTACCAGGGCTGGAGGGAGACCTGAAGGGCTCTGAGAAAATAAAGTTTTTCAAGAAAAATAGGAGAGCAATGGAAAGGTTATCTAAAACTTCTAATAGTGGCCCTAGCTAAGGTTCACATTCTGGAGAGGACCATAGGAACCTACCACAGAGGGAGACCACGGGAATACATGCTGAACCAGGGCTTCCTAGCAAGAAAACACCAATTGGAAATGGCATACCTGCCTGGGACTCAAGATGGGAGGGCCAAGGACCAGTGAGGGCAGCCTTGGGAGCAAGCATCTATAGCTTCAACCAGAGTGACCCAACAGAAGGCAGAACTGCTCCTTGCCAGTGGGTACAGGTCTGAGGGTTACACAGAGGAAATGCTCACAATTAAGGAACAGCTGATGAAGCTCTGCAGGCTGAAAAACCCACTGGGGGAAGAGATCGAGCACCAAACCACCTAGGTGCCTAAGATGGTCCCACCAGGCATAGTTCTCCAGGCCAGCACATATACTTTCAAAGACGCACCAATGTCATAAATATGAGCTGTGGCAAAGTGAATTTACTGAGAGCTTCTGGGTAACCAGGTTCTGTGGCCTTGACCACATCTCCACTGCATATACTACTGCCTAGCCCACCCAGCTGTGGTCTCCCACTGATATGCATCCCATAGACTTCCAGTTTCTGCAGGTTTTTCAGCTCACAGCACCTGGAAAGCACCTGTTCCAAGGGTGCTCTTTTCAAAGGTCCCTGAAAAAGGCAGGTATGATAGCTCACTCCTGCAATCTCAGCACTTGGGAGACAGAGGCAGGGGAGTACTGTGAGTTCAAAGCCAATCTGGGCTACAAAGTGAGTTCCAGGCCAGCTTGGACTATACACCAAGACCCTGTGTCAAATACAAATTAATAAAACAAACGAGCAAAAGTTCCTGGATCCCTGAGTCTGGCCCCTTACCATTTCCCCATTTCTGTGTTTCCAGAAAATACAGACTAGTCAGAAGTTCAGAACCAACCAAGACTATAGCCCAGAGTTCTCCGTGGGTACCCTTAAACAGTTGGCCTGATGATGTTCCCACTGCTCTCCTCTAACTTGAAAACACCACTATCACACTGTCTAGTAAGGGACATGTCTGTGAGTGGTAACTACTCAGCAGCATGCCCCTCTGCACCTCTGGGGTCACTCAGTCCAGAGCCAGGCTATCACAGGCAGAGGCGTCCTGGAAAGTAGCTATGGCCAGTAACACCCTCTCTTACCAAGAGAGGCACAGCTCCCAAAGGCCAAAGCCTCTCTGGGACAGACAGCTTTTCCCAAGGCATATCACACAGACTTCCAGAGAGTCTAGGAAGAGCCAAGAAAGGGCTGTGGCACAAGAAGCCAAGAACCAGTGTCTATGGTATACAGAAAACATTGGGTCCCTCCTAGAGGAATTCCTGGCTCATACCTGTGCTAGTTGCAGTGAATGAATTTAGAGGGTGCACCTCCAAGATGCATAACCAGCTTTATCCACGCATCATAAATGGGTTATTAGCAAAACCAAACTTTCTTCAGTCAGGTTCTTGGGGTTAACCTACATAGGTCAAGTTCTTACTTGTCACAGGAACAACTACTAATTGTATGTCACGTATTACAGCTTTAGGGCCATAGCAGGGCACACCTGTGTCTCCTAGGGATACACCCAGGAGGGCAGACAGGCCAGTAGGTATTACAGTGATAGGTCAGGATAGGCAGTCATGGGCAGCTTCAAACATAGAAGTCAAGAAAGGTCATGTGGAGCAAGTCAGGGCTATTTTTTATTTTGTTTCTTATCTGTCCCCTTCTTGGGACTAGAAGCTTCAGACACAAAAATTTCATAGTAGACTATTTCATAGAGAAAGAGACTATTGGGGGTGGGGGACAGTTAAGACAAAATGTGGTTAGAGGTATAGTTCTGTGGTAGAGCACTTGCCAAACATGCACAATGCACTAGGTTCAAAGGTTTAATACCTTTGCCCTAAAAAGATGAAATTCAAATGTGCTATTTTTCAATAAGGATTTAGCCATAAAAATTATAAATAGGAAAGGAAATTTTTAACAATGTGAGTTTAACAATGTTACTAAAGAGTAGGAAAACGACCTTACGGTAGAGAAAGCTAACTCACCCTGCCTTAGCCAGTTGAACCATCATTCAAGCAAAGGATATGAAAAAACACCCTGAATAATGAACCTTTTCAAAAAACAAAAAACAAAACAAAAAAGGGTAGCCTGAGAGATGGTCAAAGGCAAGGCAAGGTGTTGCTGGAGAGCTTCTCTCCAGGTTCCCCAAGCCCCGCAGTCCCACTTATAAAATAATCACTCAGACACTTATATCACTTATAAACTGTATGGTCGTGGCAGGCTTCTTGCTAACTGTTCTTTTATCTTAAATTAACCCATTT